CAGTGTTGAGCACTAGAGTGGAGGAAGTGTGTCCGCCAATCCAAACTGACCGGGGTCTGTTTGTGAGGAAGTCCAATATCCAGTTGCAGAGTGTTGTATTTAAACCCAGAGTGCTGAGTTAGCTGAAAAGTTTCATGGCGGAGATTGTGTTGAATGCAGAGCTGAAATTCACAAACAGCATTCTGATGTAGGCGTTTTTTTTCTCAAGGTATGTGAGGGCTGAGTGGAGGGCAGTGGAGATGGCATGCTCTGTGGATCTGTTGGTTCTGAAAGCAAACTGGTGAGGGTTCAGGCTGGCTGGGATGTTGTTCTTTATGTGCTGAAGAACCAGTTTCTCAAAACACTTCATCAGAATGGAAATATGTTGTTGCTAGATCAAATATTTACTTACTATTTACTTCACATGATGTTAATCAGCAAATAATCTATTATGGTAGACTTGTATGTTCCAAGAGGCTTTTTTATTACACATGGATCTAGACTTCTGTGAGAAATTGCAAGTCAGTTAGACTCCATCTGGCCGTTTGGGATCATATTTCTAGGGAAGCATTTGCACATCATTTCCAGTTATTGGGCCACGTTTTATGTTTGTAGCTCATTCCAGCTCACAGCAATGTAAACCGAGACACAAACTCTATAGGGTCCTTCAGGGTTTGAACCCTAAATATATAATTGAATTTAAACATTTCTGACAATGTCCACAAAAACATTATGAGCTTCATAAATGTAGAATTTAAGGCAGAGCTGTTTTTTTGAATTGCATTAGATTGATTGACAGGTGTGCCCACTAAAGCAGCCATTGAGTGTATGTCTTTGTATTGACCAGTTTCTGAAAAGATGTTAAAGTTATGATCAATATATCAACTCACTGGAACCACATCTCATCAGGAACCAGCCTCAGTAATATAAATTACATTTCGTTATGCAGCCTTATGCTGTATGACAAAGAAACAACCTTGTACCTTGTATCTTGTACCTTATCTAATAGCTTCTTTTGAACCCTCCTGCTGGCTCTGTGTTTGCATAAAACCAACACATTCTCACTCCCAACTCTTCACATATAGATGCTTGGTCAAGACCCCTTGGTCTTGCCTTTAGGATCGTTTTTCAAAGTATAGTGCTCTGTGGTCAAGTTAGCAACAATAAATAGACATGATCCGGTCACGTTAGCAATAATAAATATGCAACGTCCAGTTAGACTTTCAAAATAAAACTAGGGGTTAACGTTGGGAAACGGCACGTTGTTAACGTTAAAGTGTGCAATTTAGTTAAGGTTAGGTACCAAAACGACTTGGTTATGTTTAAGCAAAAAAATACTTGTTTAGGTTTAGGAAAACAACAACTTTACTTACGTGACTTAACTTATGTGACTTAACTTACGTGACCTAACTACTTAACTAAGTAATTTTTGTTGTGTAACTAACATAAATAAAAACATTCATTGTTGACTTTTTGTTTTACACAGTAAACGAACACCAGTCTCCTGAGTGAAAGTCAAGTTTCTGGCCATCCCAACCATGTCCTAACTTGGACTTCTGTTAAATATCCTACCTTTAGCCTTCAAAAAAAGCTACAGGGGTTTCCCCTCTGCTTTCAACTATGACGCTAAGGGGCTCCCCAGCGCATTACAAACCATGCGTACATATGTGACAACTTGGGAGTAAGAATGGTTTGATAAAACAGGCTGCATCTACCTCAAAATCAGTAAGATTCAGTTTACATAGTTCACCCTTATGTGATACACTGAAATAGCGAGGGGTTATCTTTATAGTTTGCTTGTGTACTGACTGAAGAAATAAAGAATTCCATAGGAAAGCAAAATCCAAGATGAGATCTCATAGTTGTTTCCTTCTTTTCTCCTAGACACAAATGAGCTGCTTTTAATACCAAGATGAGACCAAAGGCCTTTTCTCCCACTTCTCAAATTCATCTCAGGAGAAACAACCATATAAAATCTCATTTATGTCTGACTCTGATCAAGACAAGAGATCTCTAACTGATCTTAAATAAATCTAATTTAAGTCTCCTGAACATTGGACCATGAGATCAGAGAAACAGCTCAAAGAAAACTCAGCTATGACTCCTGGGATCTCATGATTCTTCTCAAATATGTCTCAGTTTTCTCATATTGGCCTCAAGAGTGAAAAACTCATCTCTGTCTTACTCTGATCAAAACAAGAGATCTCTAACTGATCTTAAAAAAGTCTTATTTAAGTCTCCTGAACATTGGACCATGAGATCAGAGAAACAGCTCAAAGAAAACTCAGCTATGACTCCTGGGATCTCATGATTCTTCTCAAATATGTCTCAGTTTTCTCATATTGGTCTCAGGAGAAAAAAACTCATCTCTGTCTTACTCTGATCAAAAGATGCGACCTCTACAGTATCTTAAATAAGCGTAATTTCAGTCTTCAGAATGTGGATCAGAAAAAAAGCTCCAAGATATTTCTCAGTTTTGTCTTAGTGACCCCACTTAGGGGTTATTTTACTCAAGTACTTTACTTACGTCAAATGTTGAGGTTGAGTATTTTCTTTTTATGGGGGTTTGTACTTTTACTCCCCTTAATTTCAAATCCTTATTGTACTTATTGTTAATTATCTGTTACAAGTTACTGAGAAAAATAAAATAAATTTTGACATTGAAAATAATGCACTTTTAAATGTCATGTTTTCCAATTTGTTAAGGTAGTCACAGCCAGCATAGTAGATTTTTGAGGACTTTAATTGTGGATATGGTATTTCTCCTCTTTTAAGTAAAGGAAACTTACTCTATTTAAAGACAATCAGTCCTTGCTTGTTATTGTTAGCTGGATGGTGCAGCAGCAGTGTTTTTACCCTTTGAACAGCAGGAGCAGGGTTCAAATCCAGCACAGTTCTCCAAGCACAGAAAGTGATGTGATACAATCAAGCTCACAAACATCTCCCCAGAGCTCCTAACTGCATTTTAGGAGCAATAAGCAAGACATTAATGAACTCAAAAATAGACAAAGAAAATAAATACCACTCTTTACCAGAGGTTTCATGGTTTATTTCAACTCAGCAGCACTGGATGTTACATACAGTTTAAATAAAAGTTAACTTCCCTTAAATATCTTCCTTTGTCTCAGACACTATTTGAACGCAGCAGATGGCGTGTGATACAAACTACTTTCTCTAGATGACAGCGGTCTTCTTCTGGTGGAAAGTAAGTGGTATTACTTCCTTTCATTTTCCATTCATGACGACTGTTAACTCAATTAGCCCCTTGACATTCTCCCATCATTCTCAATCATGCCTTCACATTTCATTGCTCACTTTCATCCTCATACTCATAGTGTCTTGGTCTTGTTAAATCCCTGGTATTGTCTGCAACATGGTCTTCTCTCACGCTCAATCTCTCAGTTCAGTTCAGTGGGTACTTTGTTGGCCCGACATGAGAAGTCACTAAACTACTGTCAAAGTAGAAGATAACAAAATTAACTGTAGTTATAGGGGAATCCAAATCACAAAAGAACCATTATTCTTCATTCAACACTCTTCTGTATTTGAACTGATAAACTTTCTTGGCAACATTCTCACTGCCTTTCCCTTCTTATCCATTTTATATTTAATTTTAAAATGAAAGCTCTACCTCTCCTATCTGTCTTGACTTATTGTGTCTATAGCCTACTTTAAGAACCATACGGTAACTATCAGGGCCGGCCCTGGGCATAGGCGGAATAGGCAAATGCTGAGGGCGCCGCCCACCCCTTGGGGCGCCCGAGCGCCCAAATTATTTTTTTATTATTTTTTTTATTACTAATACAACTTAAATATTATGGATTTAAAAAAGCGATCGTCCCACAAAGACAAAAATACAACATTGCTTTCCTGAATCCCGATCCCCCCGGTCCGACTGAGTGACGCATCAATCTCCCCCGCCCCCGCCCTGCTGAAAAAAACACCCATCCGTTACCTGTGTGTGATTGTGAGTGATGGATGGCCGAATTCACTGACACTGATAAGTTGTCATTATGTCAAAAAGACCGAAGCCATCTGGTGCCCAGGGAAGAAAAAAAAGAAGAGAAGAGGAAGAAAAACGCGAAAAAGGCAGAGGTAGGTAATGATGTATGATCAGTTTATCTGTGTTGCAGACACAAACTGCCTGTAATGTTCGCTAATTTGAATTAGCTTATGACATAGTTAGTTGAACTTGTGCAGTATTTTATGGTATTTTTATTTGAATTGGCTAAATTAGTAATGTTATATATATAAATCTTTATTTAAAATGAGTCCTACATAAAATGTTGTTACATTTATGTATTATATATATATATATATATATATATATATATATATATATATATATGGATTTATTAAAAATAGCAACATTAAAATTCAATTTAAATAAAGATTTACTTTTCTCCTCTGTTTCATGGTTATAACGTCATAAAGTGTAGTTAGTAGGACATTGCTGCCATGCCATATACAGGAAAACAAACACTTTCAAATCATCAGCTTTTTAATAATAAAATGTAACACCCAATGGTCACATAATCCTCCTCTTCCCCCGTCAGATGCACTTTTGAATTATCTGAACCCCGTCCCTGCAAATCCTGGGCCACCTGTTGCAGACAGCATCAAGCACATCTCTTCCCTCCGCTTCAGCACCGCCCAGCGATTCAGCATCAGTTTACAAAAAGGCTGCGCCATTAGACCCTGCTGACTGGCCATCTGTTTTAATTGAGAAGGTAAGAGCAGAGTTTGTTCTCAGAGGACCATATCATATAAAAAACAATGTCACATTTCCGCAAACAAAAAGACGGGAGAAGATGTCAGCATGACTATTTTAATAGAGTCTTAGTCAATGGAGAAAAAATCAAAAGAAGCTGGCTAATGTACTCAAAAAAGAATGACAGTTTGTACTGCTTCTGCTGCAAAATCTTTTCTCAGAAAGATTTCAAATTGATTAAAGAAGGACTAAAGGACTGGAAAAATGCAAGCCACTTGCTCAAGGTCCATGAGGATAGCCATGAGCACAATACAAACATGGCAAAAGGGTTGACCATAGATAAGCAAGAGATGGCACTCGCTGAGGCAGAGAGAAACAGGTGGCGAGAGGTGCTTACCAGACTGGTGGCCATAATTCAGTCCTTAGCTGAAAGAAACATTGCTTTAAGGGGATCCACAGACACATTAAACAACAAACCAGACAATGGCAATTTTCTTAAAGAGGTGGAGCTAATGGCCAAATTTGACCCAATAATGAAGCAGCATGTTGGTAGGGTGGAAAGCGGAGCTGGTATTCACACACATTACCTGGGCAAAAGAATCCAAAATGAACTCATAGACTCAATAAGCACAAAAATACTGGAAAAAATATTGGAAGAGATCAAGACCTCAAAGTATTTCTCCATCATTTTAGATTGCACCCCTGATCTGAGTCATAAAGAACAGCTCTCTGTGATTGTCAGGATTGTTTCACTGGAAGAAGAATTGCCACAAATTAAAGAACATTTCATGGGCTTTCTTGTGGCAGAGGAGTCAACCGGGGAAAGTTTGTCTGCTCTCATCCTCAAAAGACTAGAGGAGCTGAACATCCCCTTTGAGGACTGCAGAGGACAATCCTACGATAATGGTGCCAACATGAAAGGAAAGAATAAAGGTGTTCAGGCTAGGCTGCTTCAACTGAACTCAAGGGCCTTTTTTGTCCCATGTGGTGCCCACTCCTTAAATTTGGTGGTAGCTGATGCTGCTAAGAGCTCACCAGATGCCATTGGCTACTTTGGCTATGTAGCAAAATTGTTCAAACTCTTCTCAGCCTCCACCCATAGATGGGATATCTTCCTGAAACACGTCAAAACCACCCTGAAATCATGGTCAGAGACCAGGTGGGAAGGCAGGATAGACAGCATCCAGGCAGTAAGGTACCAGGCTGGGCCAGTCAGAGATGCTCTTCTGGAGGTGAGGGAAACTACTCAAGACCCTGTTGTGAAAGTTGAAGCCCAGTCTTTGGCTGAGGAGATTGGATCCTACCGCTTCTCTATTTGCACAGTCATTTGGTATGATATTCTCAACAAGATCCAGCATGTGAGTAAACAGATGCAATCACCATCCATGCAGCTAGATGTGGCAGTTGACATGCTGAAAAAAACCAGAGAATCTCTTGACGGCTACAGAAATACTGTAGCCAGTAGATTTTCTAGTGCACAGGCAACAGCAAAGGAAATGTGTGAGGAGATGAACGTGGAAGCTGTAATCAAACAAAAGAGGTTGAGAACCACAAAAAGGCACTTTGGTTACGAGGCTCCAGATAAGCCTATTGGTGATGCACTTAAAAAATTGGAAACAAATTTTTTTAATGTAGTCGTGGATACAACCCTGTCTTCACTAGATGAGAGATTTCAGACCCTGGGGGAGGTGAATGACAAATTTGGAGTTCTCCTCAACTTTCCCAACATGTCCAAAGAAGAGATGTTAGAGCACTGTCAAACCCTGAGCACAGCTTTAAGCCATGATGGACAGCCAGACATTGATGGCAGAGAACTTGTATTAGAAATGCAAAACTTTCCACATCTGCCATCAAAAATTATGACAAACATTGAGCTCCTGACTTTCCTGCACGAGAAGAAGCTGATGGAAATTTTCCCCAATATGTGGGTCGCTCTGAGAATCTCTGCCACTCTACCTGTGACAATCGCTGCTGCTGAAAGGAGCTTCTCTAAGCTCAAACTGATTAAAAACTACCTGAGATCTACAATGGCTCAAGAACATCTCAGTGGACTCTTAGTCATTAGCATAAATCATGTGGTCTCACAACAGCTGTCTTATGATGATATCATAGATGACTTTCGGCTAGAAAGGCAAGGCGAGTAAGGCTGTAGAACATTTGCTAAACATTTTGCATAGTGCATTCAAGTTTGTGTATAGTTATTTATTTTTTGTGCAATGGTCTTATTTTTAATTTTTGGAATGTTACATATGCTGTAAGAAAGACAAGGAAAGCAAAGGAAAGCAAGGTTTCTGTAATATAGTTTTTTCTGCAATAACATAATATAATATATACATATTTATATTGTATCTATAATACGTTGTGTCTTTGTGTTTCCAAAATATTTTCAAAATAAAGAAAAACAAGACAAACCTGTGCAGTTTGTTTCTGTGTAAGTTTATGAACAAAAATCCAGGGGCATCAGGTGAAATCTTGCCTAGGGCAGCAAATTGGCCAGGGCCGGCCCTGGTAACTACAGATGATTATATAAAGCGTGTGTGACATGTTAAGTTCGGCTACAGTGCTGTGAGATGGCCTATATGGTTAGTTTCCAGCCTTATAGTGTTATGGTCGTGCACGTAGCTGCTGCAGAGGAAATAAAGTTCATGTTTAAAGTATGAACACCACCACAACATCCCACTGGGGAAAGGTCTGGCTATACGTTACCAATTATGAGCCAGGCTAACTTAGTCCAAGAAACTGGTGCAATCCCAACTACGGTTCAGCATATTAGCATAGCATAGCAAGTCTACAGCAACTATTCACACCCGATGAGTCTTATTTGTTTGGGAGTTTTCATTGTTACAGAATCTTTTTTCTGCCTTTGCAGGATTCAGTTTACTTAGCTAAATCCCTCTCCAGAACAGTTATTGTTCAAACATTGCATAGCAACCATAACTTGCCACAGAAGGTCTGTCAAGCTTCAGGTTTCTCCACATGTTGTAGTGGCATGTAATGTAATGTAAGAGCGTGACTTCATGAGTTTGAAAGTAGCTTACTACTAGCACCAAATCCAGCATAAGGCAAGGGGTTATGTTGGTGCCGGTTCTGGATGATACTAACGTTACTGGCTCTGATATGTTCTTTAGGATTTGGGGAAGTTTACCCTCCAGCAAACCCAGCCAAGCCTGTTAAGCCTGTTAACCTTGTTAACAGAGATAGATTCAAGTTTGCAAACACTTTAGTCTTCAAGTCTTTTTTGTTTTTCCAAGTTAAAAGAGAAACATCTGATCTTACAGTTTTTTCTCAACAATCTTTTTGCTAAGATCAGTATCATGTATGCCGCCATCTTGTGTCAATTTAAGACTCTTTTTCTTGTTTTGAAATGAGTCACCTGCTGGAAACAGTGTTTTCAACCAACTGATTAAGCTAACATTAGCTTAATTAGCTAGCAAGCTACAGCTTATTAACTGCTATGGCGAGTTGTCGTATCAGCTGGCAAAGCTGACAGTCTATTAAATGAGACTCCTGCTTTTATCTACCTCTATCTGAAATCAGGAACCCAGTGTTTCAAAAACAATGTTGGAAATACATCGCTGACAATGAAGGACAAGATATACTTGTCACATTGTTAAGATACATATATGTGTGAGCATGTGTGTATCATGTTTAATCGGTGAGTCCAGCTTCGCTCCCACTTCTGCAGTTTTCCAGCAGTGTGGGAAAAAGGCAAAGTGGCATAGACCTCAATAGAAGACTGACCTTTGAGTATGTGAGTGTGTGAGTGTGTCTATGTCTTAAATTGCCAAAACACCCTCCTCAGTGTTTATTATTAAGCACAAAGAAGGAGAAGCTGCTTGGTGACCTCCAGTTCACACAGAGATACACACTCTAACTGATGTTTATTATAGGATGCAGAGAGATTGGCAGCTCAACAATAGAGAGGGCAGAGAGCAGACCTTTTCCAATGCGATACAGAGCTTTGACATTTTGTACATTAGCATGCTGGTGTTCGTGTTCACACACACACACACACACACACACACACACACACACACACACACACACACACACACATACGCATACACACACACACACACACACACACACACACACACACACATACGCATACACACACACACATACACAGAGCAAAAGAGGCAGCAGGGCCATAATTAAGGTCACTTGTGTTGGATCTTTCCTTTTGGAGAATAATGCCCTGGCCTTGGTTTGATAGAAACAAGTAGCTGTACCCACCCCTCCATTGTCAGGTTTATGTTCTCTGGCTCTGACATGAGGAAATGATTTCAAAAGAGGAGAGAGACGAGGAAAGGCCAAGGATATTGATTTTCAATACAGATAATTAAACAAGTCTTTTCTTCTAAGCTGTCACTGTGCTGTGTAATACAAGTATAATCCTCAAACAACTCGCATAATGATAACAGCAAACGCCCAAAGCATCTCCACTTTATCAATAGTGCATTGGTAATCAAAATTCAAAGTCATGCAAGATAGACATATTTTAAGGTTGGTTTGTGAAGTGCAAACTCACACACACATACTCATAAACATACACAAAGACGAGGCATGGGGCAGTTCCCTTTAAAGTGCAGATTTATGTGGTTGAATTTGGTCAGATCCCTTAGTCCTCTGGCTGCCACGGCAACAGGCTTTGGAAACAATGATTCAGTGCAGCTTTAAGGATGTTCCAGCCTATCACACAGTCTACACCCAAGACTCCCATACACACGCACTGACACACATTACACACACTCATTATTGTATTTGCACAAACAAACAAAAACATGCAAAACATTACATTTTTTTGCCATGGACTGGAAAATGAACAATATGCAGATGTGCCATGTCAATAAGGAGGCCAGTGAGAGTCCAACCCCTGCAGAGAATTGTAATGCAGATGAGTATGGTGAAATCTACAGCGACCATTGTCAACAATAATTATGGAAGGACAAAAGCTGTTTAGGTTACAGGTTCAAGCTACCAAAAACTGGTTCTCATATAATTTCTGTCAAGTAAAAACTTTGAATTTCCAAAATGTCAGCAGTAGATGAACTAAGAAAAGCCATGTTGTTGTTGTCATGAATTTTACATTACGTTTACAATCCTTTTCCCAAGTCTCTCCCATTCAGTCATCATCCACTGTAGCCCTGTTCTCACTGTGGTCACGTCACTGTCCACTCCTCCAAGACATAAGCAGAAGCCACCCACGCCCCAGCCACCCATTAACACCTGCAGTTGTGTTTGTTGGAGCACAAACCACAGGCAACCAAAGACCAAGTCTTTTTTGGGCTTATCTAATTGGCCTTGAAAATGCTTTATATTTCTCAACCCAAAGAGGTCAAATATTAAAACATGAAATACACCAAACTTACAAAGTTATATTCTAGAGACTGTTTGACTGAATGTACTGAATGTTTACACTCAAGTGACATAGCCCTCTAGTGGCCCTAAGAATTAAGAAACTTGTCTGTCAACAAACAAAGTCTGCCAAGGGTCAAACTCAGGGATTGGTCAAAAAAAGGTTTGACAATGACACAGGATACTGTGTACAACACTGCTCACTTCCCATTTACTGCGACTGAGATTTGTAACGGTTTTGGAAGGCACTGAAAAATTAGATTTCCTGTCAATAGGGTAGGCAGATCAGAAACTACTGTTTGCGTCATTCTGGAGCACAGTTACAAACAATGTACTTTGTTATTATATTTATTTATATTCTATGTTGCTGATAAACAGACTTTTCGCCTTATACTCCCACACTCTTAATCATTTTCTCTGTATATCCTTTTTTTTTATCAATATACTATGTGTGCACAATGTACTGCACCTGAAATTCCCATTTCAGACAATAAAGTCCCAGACTGAGTGAAACCAAAGCTGAAAGGATAGTTTCAGTGCCTGGACATTATAAATCATGGAGGTAAACATTTATACGCAAGGTTTTTTAACTTCACAGGGACTGTCTCATGGGTTAAGTACTCCTCATCGTGGCAGGTGCATCCCAGATGTGAATAGCTGTAATGTTACTAGAAGGTTTGGATGAAAAGGAGAACATGAAAAACAAAGAGAGCATTAGAAAAGACAATGAGGCAGAGTAAGAGCAAGATAACGACAAAAAGAGGAAAGGGATTATGAGCATCTTGCATGGTGATGCAAAGAAAAACAGAACTAAATCTGAAAGACAGAATAGAGAAGAGGGAGTATAGAATGTTATCTTAGGGGCATGTGAGGAAATACTGATATCATGAATAAAGAAAAATCCATTCCATAGTATTATTTCAATATGTGTTACTGATAAATTAAAGTATTTTGGTATTATATAAAAATTATATGACCAAAGGGGGATACATTTGAAGGAATGAACTGCATGAGATTAAGATACTAAATCAGGAGGTTTTGTAATTTGTTTGGTTATTGACTGTTGCTGCTACCGTTTCTGCAACACAGAAAGTACCCCAAAGTAGTACTTACTCTTCTCTGAAATAATAACACATTGTCTTGGTTAAGTTTGTTGGTGTGCTGCCCACGGTGATCCTTGTCCACCCCTTAGACATTGTGGCACCACCTGCTGCATGGAAACAAGACTGCATGGCACCCATTCAATAATAAAGCACCTTTTAAACCAGCTACTCTGCTGGGATTAACATCTTGAAATTCCCAAAAGATGATAATGACAATTTGGCCTAGAGATGCATTTCTAACTCCCTTCTATTGGTTATGGTTGTGAACACACACACGCACAAACACACACACACACAAATTAGAATGTCAGAGGTAGAGGTTGAAAACAGCCTGTTCTGCTTTGCTGTGATGTCAATTACGTCAGTCTCCTCTTCCCGCACTTTTGGGGTCATTAACACACACACACACACACACACACACACACACAAACTCACACAGACTCTCTGGGAGTCACTGTCAGGTTTATCCGCTCCCTACAGTGGCCCAGCCTATCCCACAAACCCCTGGGGTAGTAATCTGTGATCCAGGAGAACTGTACTCTGGGTAACGCTGTTTTCATAACCGCTCGCAGTCCTTAGTCCATAAACACACAGAACCACAGAACATATGTACCATATTACACACTCATTCACCCACCTATGCACACACACACATACACAAACACACCAAACTCCAAACTGAA